CCTCGCACGCTCCACGTGTTGCATAACTCGGAGCAGCCTGCATCTGTGTTCTCGATACTGGAGTCTGGCAACAAGACGATCCCCCTGGTAGCTGACGGCCTCTTCGACTTTCTTATGAACAAGATGACCAGCATCTACACCTCCAAGAAGCAGACAAAGATCGAGGCCAAGGGTCCGCGCTTCGAGATCGGTGACTTCTGTGTCAAACTGGGCAGCGTGACCATGACCCAGAACTTCAAAGGCGTCCTTGTCGAGGTGAGTGCACCCAGAAAATGTTTATTTTAGATCTCATGCCCAAAACTACGTACTTCTAACCGACACGCAGGTATCGACCCTCGCAGGAGACAGTAATGGCGGTAACAAGTAGTACCGCGGTAATTCAATCCAAACGAATCTCTTGCATCGTCACTCTTAGGCGACAACGATGGCCTAACTGGGGTGGTTTTTCAAACGAGGATTACAAAGGCAGCTTCTTTGTGTTTATTAGGGGTTGTAAGTCTGGATGGCAATATACAGATTTATCTCGCCCAGGGTCACTATTATAACGAAACCCGAAATTCTGTATGCTACCATCTTCACCCCATTGTTAGCAGACCATGAAAGAAAAATGAGAAAAATATCGCGTTGTCAAATAACCCTAACAACGCCTCCTTTCCCGATTCGAGCTACATGTCCAACTCATCCTACCTCATTGTTCATGATTCTTACATGAGTCACGAAATTCGTGATATTTCAGGTTCTCACAGCGATGGGTATGAAGATGACTGGCTTGTGGGATATTTTGCTATACAGTCTGTATAAACCCTGATGATGGAGGCATTAAGCACCTCTGATACGCCACTGAACTTCTCCGAGTGTCTCGTTATACGAACTCCTAAATGTTCTCATTTGCAAATCCCTCTTTGCTTCACAGCATACCTCAACTTTCTGTTTTAAAACTTTTGTGATTTGTATTCTTCCCTCGATGTAAGATCTCACTTTGTATATCCATTCTCTACAAATGCTGCCTGGATTATTTGCCGTGATTCAACTAGCTCAGTATCCGGTTGAATTACGGAATTTTGTGAACACGGTGGTGAACATTCGGGTTTAATAGAAGCAAGTAATGTCTGTCAGCTTCAGAGGAAGGACTCTGCTCCCTAGAGTTGTATAAACTGTAACAAAATTAATGCAGCTTATAAGTAGAAGAGAAATAAGTCTAATTATATTGGATCGTTTTTGAACACTGAAAACTTTCCTGTTCGAACAGAAAAGTTAACTCAATTAAAGGAAGTTTGTCACATGGCTCCCGTGGAATTTAATTTCAAGCAGAAAGGGTCCGATTCAGTGGCTTTGCGTCTGTTGCCGACAAGTCTTTTTGAAAGTGAGAGAACTGCCAAGTGGATGATCTGTCTGAGAGCTCTCCTTGTTTTCATAACTTCACTGCAGGCGCATTCCTTCCATTCATATAGCGCGTTCTGTTACTTTCTGAGGCGTCTTTGGTTCCATTAGATCTGCTTCAAATTAGGTCGCTGCAGGATCCGAGAGCTTCCGTTGTTTTTATCATTTCACCAAAGCTAGTCAGGTGCATACAGATTTCTTACCACTGATGTCATATAGAAATTTAGGCCTATACAGGGAGAACCTATTTTAAAACGATATATCTCGTTCACAGCGTACGGAGTGTTAAAATTAATTTTATCAAATGCAAGCGGATTTATCCGTATTTTAGCACCATTAGCTTCTTTGATATCAATTTTGTATGGGGAAGAAATGTCGATTCCGAAATGCTGAAGACTTGATGTTGGACCACGCTCCGACACGTGACGACCGACAATTACCAATGAGAAAACAGCACGTAGTACCGACAGGGACAATGGATTCTCCTCTTGTCCAGAATAGCAATGAAAGGGTTAAGCTGTGCGCGTAATGCGATACTCCGTGCTAATCTCTTGTAGCTATATTGAATTGCAATGCATTATGGGACAGCAGCACTCAATACCGGCATCCCGCACTACACGAATGCGTTTGCAGGATCAGATTCATTTCAAAATATCCTCATCACCTATGCTGATTCCATAGCCTGAGGGACTGACAGCATCATTAATAATAACAATAATAATAATGATAATTTCGTCGTTTTTTGAATGAACTATTTGCCGTTCATCTAGAACTTTATTTGCTTCTCGTCTTAAGGATTTTCATCTAGCGTTTGTATGTGAGCTTATTAACTTATTGTGGATATTTTTTTTTTCATTAGTTCGATGAAAAGAATTTGAAATGTAATTGCCTCGGTCAAGTACTTGGCCGTTTGTTTGGTGGTTGACAGAATAAATACCGCAAAGAACATATTAGAAATTGCTGTAGAATTAATATAGCCATAGGAGCGCGATTGTTAGAATGCTTAAATGTATCTCGAAATGTAACTTCATTGGAGCAAGATTTTCTCATTTTATGATGCAGAATATTTGTAGTTTATTTCACCGTTTAATGAGCTGCATTCCCAATAAATCTTCTTAAAACTGTCAATAAGTTGTACGTAACTTATTTCGATTTACACTGTCGTACGTCAACTAAAATCCAGTTGTCGTTGAGCTTGACAAAATTTCTTACGTCATCGTTTAAAAAATTAAATCCGTGGCGTAACAGCTCCAGAGAGCCAAAGCCGACTAGCTTGACTGCTGGCCTCACGTTCACATGCCTAAGCAGAGGTCCCCAATTTCCTCACGATGCTGGGTTGGCACCGGTCCCATACACTGGTCGAAAGCTCATGAGAAAATTTCTTCTCCCCCGAGACTCGAACCAGCGCGCATTCCGTATCGCCGGTCCGAAGCATGATGCCTCAGACCGCGCGGGACACGTCGTCGTTTAATATCAATAAATATTTGTGCAGTTTTTTTGTTTTTGTTTAAGGCAGTTTCATGTTATCAGTTGTTTATCACCGATAATCAAATACGAGTCTTTCATTTTAACTGTTACTGTTTTACTGTGCGTATTGTAACGTCTCGGACTTTAAATAAATTATGAAGTGGCTCTGGGGCTGTGTGTGTGTGGATTTTTCACTGCGTTGTCGGCCTCGTGCGGTCCTGAGTTACGTACGGCTTGGGACTCCAGCAAAAGCTTATTGATTGTTCCCCGGAGTCTAGGGGAAAGTAATGCTCTTGGCTCCGGCAGGATGTGGAGCAACACGCCGATGATGGTAAGCAGCCTGCCCACCACTCGCACACACCGCCGAACAGCGGAAGATCGGGAAATGTCATCACACTCATTAAGTTTGTGATCGAACCAGATATAAAGAACAGGATTAACCGAAGCCTTTCTTCTGGCTCCATAGGCTACCCGCCTACCACTTGTGCCAGAGAAGTTGCCGAATCGGGCCGGCTCTGCTCTTCTTAATCTTGCATAATGCTGTATCAGTTTATTGATTGCTTTGTTAACAAACGCGGAATACCCCGCCAGTATTTAAACGTCATTATCCCAGAAATGCCTCTTAGTTTCAAGAAGTATTTCTCGAGTGACGTATTCATTCATTTGAAGGCAAACAGTTCTTCCAGCTAAGTGTTCTTTACAAACAAATAGTTCTTATACCAGCACGTGGGTCCAGTGCCTGCTTCACGAAGCGCTGACGGGCTCTGTGATTAACTCCTCGTTGTTTCTGCTCCGGATGTGGCTACTGCAAGACGGAACTCAAATATTTACTGCAGCTCTGTCCTGCATTTATACGCTCCCGGGCCTCCTGCTGACTTTTTATACACGTACATGAGAAAGAGACAATTGGAAATAGCCGGACGATGCGACAACCGTAACAGTGGTTCGGAATGTGTGATTGTGGCCTGTGTACTCTTTGGAGTACACTAATATTACAGACTTATTATTTACGCCACATCACGGGCGATGACGTCAGCATGGCAACAACCAAAGGAATATAGGTTGCCGCAGTGGTATCAAACCCAACAATATAATCCAAGGTCATTGTTATAACAGTGCTGTGAAATTCGCCACAGGTAGATTTAGGCGGGCTTTAAGGTTTTCTTTGCTTACGCTGGAGTGTAAAGACAGATAAGTTGTGATGGCAAACTCTAATAGCTGTCTTATTGATGCTAATGATGTCGGATTTTTAGTTTCAGAAAAAGAAGAAGTTGTGTTTTTATTAAATTGATGAACGAATTTCGGTTAAATTCGATATTGGAGGTTCGTGGTCCGCAAGCTATCTATTGTACCTCACATTCTACATAACGTTCAAATTGAACTGCTTGGACTAATTGCATCGAACACAATCCTTTTTAAGAACCTGTTAATCGGCCAGATGGTTATGAAATTCCTCGCCTTTTGTCGGACTCAAAAAATGTTAACACGAAGACTTTATTCCTTTAAGATCAGTTTTAATATTGCTCTCCACTTTTTATATGCATTTCCTGATAACTGCATTTTCATTCTGTTAGGTTAAATATTCAGTCATACATGTTTAGATCTGTTGACTCAGTCCATTGATTTCCAACATTGTCGGATGTGGATGTAGATGTCTGCAGCCGAACTGCAGCCAGCCACGCAACAGTGTATGCTGGTTGCCTAAACTTCTCTGGCTCCAGTCCAACTCGGCTAGAAATTGAAAGGAGAGGGTAGTCTAAACCCCATGCTGTAGGTACGGCACTCCGCTTATCGATTTGGGTGAGTTGCGGGGTTGGACCAGCCACCATCAAGTTACCCTCGCTCCGAGACTCAGCAACTGTCCGTTAGCGTACACAACCCGTAGTACCGGGCGGTTAAAAGATGCTATTCTCCTTCACAGTGAGTTGCACAAAGCGTCGTCCGCGCTTAGTCGTATGTCATGAACTTTGGAATTTTCGTCCAGTACCGAGAAGGAAATGTTCTGCACATACCTTACAGGACTACATCTTAAATAATAACACCTCTCACATGTCAGACCTCGAAAATTCAACACCGCTGATACGGTACCTAACATTATATAGTATCCTGATGGAGGTTCACGCGTCTCCTATCATCAAAACATACATTCCATTTATTTCTTCATCTTTCAAGGTGCAAAAAGAACCACTCCAGCAGACGTATGGGGGAGTGGAGGTATAGTTCTCCGGATTCTTAACTCCAGCACTAGAATGATTAGTTTGGCGACCCGTTTCAAGTGGCCATTTTCCAAATAGTTTCGCCGCCAAATGTTGTGTTCGGTTCATTCAGTGAATGTGGGCGGGATTAATCTGCCTCAGAATAAAGACGGATGGCGGGTTCTTGTGAATACAATAATGGACCTTCGGTTTGCATAAAAGACAATGATTTCTTGACTAGCTGAGCGACTATCAGCTTCTCAAGAAGCATCGAATGTTAAAGGAACGATTGTGGGAACATGTGAGGTTTCTCCGACTCGCTGTAAAGAAGGGCCAATGATTGCTTCGATTTTGACCAGTTTTGTTCCCACAGGTTTTGTCTGCCCTGTAGGACCGGTGTAGAGCGTCGACCCGCCACCGGTCCGATATCGGTTTTATGTAGTTATGGCGTTTGTTTGTTTTAGAGACAGACAGACAGACGTACGGATTTATCGTTTCACATGACTTTGATGTGAAGCATGGTCTCGTATAAAATGTTTAGAACGTGTCAGTTGTCTCAAGTGTTACAGAGTTCGAAGTTTGAAACATGTTTGCAAATGGAATGTTTCTATGATTTGTAACTTAGGTGACTGCGTCACCTGAGAATCGGATGAGTCACGAAGAAACTGCTGTCTCCACGGTGATATTGTTGATAGTAGGACATTAGGGCACACCAGGCTGTTATGTTCATGACAGACGATCATTTAGTTCAGAATTTATTAAAAGAAACATACTAAGACACACACATACACAGACAAGGTGTTACTAAATTCCATTCCTTTCAAGGATTCTTGTACGCAAGTGAAAGGTTTATTACCTAAAGTCATCGTCGAAGGCTACCTTGTGCCAATTGAGCGTAGTCAAACCTTAAACGTGTAGCTTATTTATTTTCCTGAGATTCCTTATAATGTTATTTTCCCGTCTGTATCTAGGTCTCTTTGTTTTACGTTTTCGACCGAATTGTGCGTGATTTTCTAATATTCCCCCATTATTTCTCCTGATTTAGCCACTTTAATAAATATTTGGTGATGGAGTACAAATTGTGATTTCCCTATTGAGTTTGTTTCCTACAAATTTACTTACACGTCTTTCTTTACTGTTCCGTTTACTCACTCCCCCTCCCCGTAGCGGCCACTCCATATGACAAGTCAGTCCGTCACCACTTCTCGTGTGGATGTGCCCCTTTCATAGTAGAGGACCGGAACAGCATGGCGCGGATTGTAAGACAATGGCACACGCTCTGCTGTATCTGGATGCACCCAGCCAGTCGCGTCTGAGTGGTGACCGTCAGTGGGGCGACGAAGTGTGAACGTTTTGTTGTTCCGTAAGTGGCTGACTGCCTGCAGGTCTTTGCGGGTTGTGGAGACGAGGACAACGCTCCGAGGAGTGTGTTCTGATTAATGCTGACATGGGCTCATAATAATCTGCAGCTGGTCTGCACCTGATTTTGTTAGGACCATCGAATCAGGAAGGATAAGATGGGCGAGTCGTGTAGAATACATGGACTAGGTTTTTAATAGAAAGAGAGTGGAGGGAAGAAAGTACCAGAAACGCCTGAGTTGAAGGATGATATTAAAATGGATTTTGGTTATACGGTATAGTGCATTTGATTTAATTATAATGGTAATTAGATTGCTAGAATATTTACTATAATTATTTCGACTTATGCATATCAGGAGCAAGATAACCTCCATTTTGTAGATAAGATGTTTATGATAGATAGGATAACTTTGCGATTATTCTTAATAATATTTGTTGACCATTTGTAGAGTGAAGAGATTCTGATATAAGGTTACCAAAAGAGGTAGAAGAACATTGAAACGTGGTGCGGATAAATCAGTTTGCAGTACACTTTTCTCCATAACTCTGCTGAAGACTACCTCTGTGTTTCAGTTTCTTCTCATGAATATTTTCTCTCCATTGCCTTTCAGTCTTTCTTTTTCTTCGTTACGATTTACTTCATATCTCATTCTGCGAAGAGACTGATGTAAACAAGCTGTCGGTTTCCCATTTGGCACTTATTAATAACACGTAACAAATCCAGACGGTGACCCCCAACGAAAGCTCTCGGTTAGTTCCCTAAAATAGTGTTGCAAATATTCTGCATAACATCTGTAACCAATTAAGGAAGTCCATTATGTTGACCTTCGTTCAGCATGTCAATAAATCCTCCGTCTTTTATGTGCCCTGAAGTTTCTTTGCCGTGCTCACAGGACCCTGCTATTTGTTCCCATCCTGAGCCGTATTAATTCAGTCTTCACCCACACTGACCTCTATTCTGCATTCAATTAATTAGAGGCGTTTTGTCTGTACGGGCACAAGTCTCTTTTCGCGTCTGTTTTCCCTATCCGTTCCCAGCCTGAAGAGAGAACTAGCGACGTAATGGATTGGGCGCTGCGGTGCTTCGGATTCCGATGTGCCTGACGCAGGTGCGACAGTTTTCTCACGTGATGTAATGACTTCATCTGCAGGGCACGGACTGGCGCTCCTTTCTTATTATGACGCCGGCATTGACTGATGGAACTTAAAAAGTGGGGCGTACCCGGCACGCTTTGTGTGATCGATGACACTGGTCCGCGAATGCGCCCCGTTGCCACTGTTCTGTGTTTCCGTCTCTCATAAAAAAAACACAAAGATAACAATTTCAATTTGCCTGGTTGATGTTTCAGGTTCTCGCGGCGACGAATGTAAATAAGGTATTCAGTTATTGAGTTAGTGATTTAGTTTGTTTCATTGCTTAGTGTATGTATGTGTGTGTATCTTCGGTTGTCATGGCTACAATCGCAGCCAGCTTAATAGTAGGCGGGAATTTACTGCGATGCTTCTTTCAGATGACTGAGAAAGGTTGCTTCCATTTTCGTGTGGATTTAGCCTCAGTGATAATGCGATGATTGCTTATTCTCTGTACGGCAAAATGCCTCCAGTAAAAGCCTGTATTTTGCTACAGGTGGAGTACCGGCCTTGTGTGGTTCCAGCCAGCTGCTGGGAACTCATGCGAGAGTTTCTTCAGGGGTTCCTCGGGTCCTCGGTTCAGAGTACTCCGCCTCAGTATCTGCAGGTAAGTTCTCTCTTTGTCACATTCTTCTTTAATTTCCTTTTCCTCTTGGTTTTAGGTCATAGCCCTTAGTTGCATAACATTTGCTTTCTTGTAGAATATGCTGACTATGATCCACACGCTTACACCCTCATTCTTTTACATTCATTTTAATATCCTCATCTTCCTGTTTGATCTCTCTAATAATATTTTGTGAACAGTACAAATTATGAGCTCCTCATTAAGCGATTGTCCACCCTCCTTTCTCTTCATCCCTCTTTTGTCCATATATTCCCCCAAGTACCCCAATGTCAAACACCCTCAATACGTGCAAGTCTTCAGGTTTTCATGGCGATCCATATACATTTGTAGATGGTCTTCACTCTCTAGCTCGAACAAAGAACACCTCATAGGCCCGTCCATGTCTGTCTGTCTGCCTGCCTGTTGCGTTTTTAGCCTAGGAACTAGGCAACTTCCATCGTCTCCAAGGAGCGAAGCGTATCCTGAGTTTTGCAGTAAAGGGTTCCTCCCCCTGGGGCTTATACTTCAAGTCTTAGCCCCAGCCTTAGCCTTGACCCCCTCGATTTACCACATTTAGGAAATTTCACCCCTCACCCCCACCCAGGGCTAGCTTTGCACCCCCTTGGGCCTTTCCCTCACTGAGTTGGAACCCCCGTTTTTATCTTCTGCCTTCTCACATTAAGTCACCCAGACTTCGGGAAGCCGGAACTGTCTTCGAGGGGCTTGGCCACCCACGGAGACCTGAAGGATTATGCCTCATCTGGACATCCCCAGATAGTGCCCACCGTCTGCTCTCAGCCGGGCGTTTAACCCCTGGGGAACAACCTAGGATGGAAGTCCCCAGGAGTTGGAGAAACCCTCCTAGGGCAAACCCCTGGGTTCGCATTCCCACCTGGGTAAGTCTTGGGGGTTGTCTAATTCCTCCTAGGCTGACAAATGCGACGAAGAAACGTGAATGTGCTCGTAAGCTGTTCTTTCACGCACCCTAGAGCGTGACAAAATCCCAAAAAAATGTTTCCTTCGTTTATATTCATCATTTCAGACAAGAGACCAAGTTCCACCCCCATACAAAACAGCAGGTAGTTCTGCACCTAAACAAGTTGTGTTGAAATGCATGAAATATTCTGGTAAGACCTCGTGACATCTTTCACAGTTGTTTAGCAGTGACTGAGTGATAGGCTACATGACGAACGTACAAAATGTCAAGTAATTCTTACAGTTTACGAAATGTGAAGTAGTTTCAAAGTGCCGTTCCTCCTTGTCACAAACACCTGCGCCTGACAGACAGTTACATCTGTCAGATGTTTTACAAGGCGTAAAGAATGAGTGAATACGTCACAGGATTTTATAATTTACGTCACAGTAGTGGATATCATCCCGAAAGAGGTAACTTTGGACGTCCGACGGAGAAATCAGGTTCATAATGACATTACACAAATTATAAAATGAGGCGAACTTCTAATCCATTGGCATTCATATTCTGAATGTTCCGAAATTGAACCTTAAGCATCTTAATCCCCCAGGATATTGATTTTTACTTATTGATTTAGCGACTCTTTCTCAAACTAACACGCTTGAACGTGTGTGAAAAGTCCAATGGGAGAATGTTTATAAATAAGGAATTCTGAGTGATGTGGAATGAAGTGGCCGTGGCTTGTCTTCAAGGCACTTTTAGAATTTAATAGGAATGACTGCGGAACCATAAAAAGAGAACCGTTGAGACAGTCGGACTGTGGGTTGAGAGTCGAACGTAAGACCTCCTGACTACGGAAACTGGATGCCCAGCAAAAGATGACTGTCGAATCAGATGTAATAACGACACACGTAGTCCATGTGTTTGTGTGATGTTCACTGTAACAGAACGAGTTTCAGTAGTGCGATGTAAAGTCTCCACTTTGACGCTCAGAGAACCAAGTCCTTTGTGCTACAAACAGAACAGTGAATTCTGTGTTGTAATTCTAAGAAATGGGTCCTATTGTCCCGCTCCATGCAGCATCCACTGTGCCGACCTTAACACTCGGAATCGCTTGAAATCACACTGACATTCCATTACACAGAGAGTTGATTTTGAATGTCCAGATTTGTGGCCGAACTTAAAATGATACAGAAGGCTTGAACACTACAGGCAAGCGTGGTTTTACGCTGAACCAGCGAAATTTCTGATTCAAAATATGTAGGAACTGAAGTTTTGTATTTCTTACCTCTCCGCTGTGGAAGAAGTTCCTTAACATTTTTAAGCCCAGTAGTAAGCCTAGCTGATGCTCCAGTTGTGTTAATCAGTAAAGCTGTATCTTATATTTATGTACTTCGTATTGTGATTGTTATTGTACACGGCTATGATATCCTTAAAGAGCGTTAACCAGTTGATCTTTGTAATGGTTTTGTGTTTTCTTTGAGATATGGATGGATTGAATTTCTAAATATTATTTAGAGGAGCTTCGACTTCAAAGGATTAAATGAAGTGCCGAGTCTACGTATTTGGAGGAGGTGTGACGTGGAATATCATTTACTGAATCACTTAACGAATTTCGTATAAGTGTGATGATAGTAATGTGTGGGGCAAATTTCATTTTGGTTTGTTCATTACAGTATAATCCCTGCTTTAGATGATGCTCAAATCGAAATGTATCTCATTATGTGATGGCTGTGTATACAGCAAAATAACGTATCTCTTTATGGTCTACATTTTTTTTTTTTTTTAAAAAAAAAACATATTTCTGTAGACTATGGTGATTATTTTAGGAAATATGAGGAATAATAATTTGTTTTCTAATAGTGTTAGTCGTTGGTTGGAAAGTTCGTTTAGGGACCGGTGGCGGGCATTTTTGAACACGATAATAAACCTTTAGTTTTCATAACAGGCTGGGAGTTGCTTGATCAGATCGTGTAAAGTATACGAATTATGAAAGAACGGGTTTGTGAATATCTTGTAGTAATCCTTTGCATGTTGTTATGCAGCCTACAGTGAAGAAACTGTGGCAGGTTCCCATGGTAACAAGTCCTGTCTGTACTTGATGAAATAAATGTCATTTCCCCTGTGACGTACATTATATCCAAGCTTGAAATTTTAAAGAGGGCTGTACATTTTTTTTTTTTCCACAACCATATGCTCAGCCGCCACATTCCTCTCGTCATGAGACACGCCCATTTCAGATATATGACTGGGTGTTGCGACGGCCTGATATGTATGGCTGAAGCGGGATTTGTCGCCCTTCAGGGCATTTTGGTACTCCGAACTAATTATTCGACTGTCTATACGCGTTACTCGACATTTGTACTCTCGGTAAATTTGTTCGTTGTTTTATGTGGGTGTGAAACTTGATCTGTCGCGCTAAGGAAAGAATGCAGATGAAAGATTTGTAGTATAAAGTACTGAGCATAATATCTGGACCCAAGACAAAGGAAGTCGTAGGATGAAGGAGAAAATTAATTAATGAGGAGCTTTATAATTTGTTTTCTTCACCGGATTTTATAATGGTGGTCAGAGCAAGGAGAATGAGAGATACAACACGCTTGAGATGCGAGGTTAAAATTAACGTGTGAGACGTGAACCGCGCGGCTTCACAGCCCAGAAGATCATTGTAAACATTTTCACCGCCGGGAATGCCTGAAATCTCTTTCAGTGTTAAAGTCTCCGGATGCCATGAAATGCGGGAATTTCTTGAGTAGTTTAGCGACTATCTGGAAGGAATTCTCTTCCCGGAAGATTTGCCATCATCGTTTCTTAATTCTGCCGTTCCACGCGGTTCGTTTCTTATTTTCGCAACCAATCTTTTATATCGATTTTAATATTACCCTTAATTTTACGCCTAGTTCTCCATATAGTTTTTCTTTGTTTTCGAATGAAAATGCAGTATATATTTACATGGTGTTTATTATGCAGCGAGATGTCTCTTTCGTTAATTGCTTGGCAGCAGCAAACGAATATCAGCATAGCACAAGCGAGTTGCGATTGGTTACATCGCAACGAATTTTATATTTATAAATGTGTACACCCGAAAATGAGGTACACTTTTTCATTCTCCGTTTTTCGGAACGGAGTTTAATAGTGGACTTACGCCATTTTTTCATGCGTTCCATATCTGAAACATAGAGACACACGAGAGCCTTGTCAGTTTTCACTGATAAATGTCCCACAGTCTGCGAATAAGTTTAATTACAAACTCAGTTCCTTCTTACCCTTTTTTATCATGTGTGCGTCAGTCTCGTTATTTATTACTCGTGCCAGAAAAAGAGCAGTAAGTAACAAATGTAAATACGTACGAAAGAAAGGCAGCTTTAACAAAGAAACAGAGGCTTACGCCGATGGTATGACGAAACACTGCTGAACAACGCGCCACCGCTGTTAGCGTAATTCACTGACTCCTGCTAACTTAAGACGCGCATTTGAGTACTTCATTGACGCCGAGAAACACTGGGTGGGAAACACTGAGTTGACGTGCACTAAAAGTTTGCAGACAGGTTAGATGTTGAGACAGTTATAAGTTAAAATTGCGCTGCAGTTTCCTTACTTAATTTGGCTGGCTGTGGTGATTTCGGTGATGTTGACAGGCGTTGCCGACAGAAAGGCGTTTGTTCACACTGCTCTTTCTTCTTCTTCTTCTTCTTCTTCTTCTTCTTCCTTGATTATTTTAGTTTAAACTTTTCCTGAGCAAAAATATTCTTACTTTTTGGCTTCCCTGTACTTTCAAAAACGCAGTGGTTTTGATGTTTGTTGGTAAGAGGCCTGTTGTGTCTTTCAAGACTTCTTTGTAGAGTCTTGTGTTATGAAGTTCCGCCCATATTTCATTCTCGCCTCTTCTTTGTGAAGGATTTTGCTTAGACTTTTTTCAAGGAGAACCGCAATTCTGGCATGTCTTCCTGACTAATCACCTTTTTGCTGAATTCTCTCTGTAACTCCTCGTTTGTTTTGTTGGTTATTTATTGTTCATCCTGTAAACTTTCACCCACCGTTGTTTTCCCCGTTTTGTTACGACGAATGTGTTCGTGCACTGGTCGCCAGGAAGAAATTCTTCGCTGCTTCTCCTCTGCTGCTGTGTGAATTCTTATCCTGATGAGGGGTGTACAGTGATCCTGCTCATAAGCATGCAGGCCTACGTACGTTTAGAAATAAATGATGCTACCGTTTCAGTTTTCCTTAAAACAAACTTATATTCATGCATTAAAGTAATCCTGGAAACAACAGGATTCGATTCAACTAATTTAAGACACAGTTCAGCGGCGGGCTCTTGTGAACATAGTGCAAACCTTCGGGTTTTTCTCATAAACGGTGCAGTTTTTCCTGACTAGCTGAGCGACTGTCAACTTCTCAGGACCGACTTTCCTGTATGAAATTATTTATGAGAGCAGGCGCACAGGGAGCGTGGGTTCTTGAACGAACCATATTGCTCTTGATTGCGTTGTCTGTGCAGATGGGAACCTTGCGGAGGGCTGATCCCCTGTTTAGGGAACCCTGCAGAGTATGTAAAGGTTCAATTGGTTCAAAATTAATTCAGTATCAGAACAGGACAGTGGGCCTAATCCCTGACATAATCATCCCATCATCTGACGCTGTGTAGTCTCAGCTGCTGGCAACAAGCGCTTGGGGATCTTGCAGAATGGCGTTACCAAATGAATACATAACATTGCAGCAGTGACGAAGTGTCTGCTTTTGTACGACAGTCAGTCTAGAAAGTCATAGCCATTTCCAAATAGCACGGAGTTGAATAAATGTTGTTGTTTTGCGTCAGTGCTCCTTACATCGTGTTTAATCGTACCTTTTCAAAGAGGTCAAGAGCTCTGTCTTTTTAAAATATGTTTTTCTTTCGGCGCGGTAGCTGAAACCTGGGACTCATTTTCCAGGATCCACGCCCTGAGCGATCTAATCTACGTAGAGATAAGCTCAGGACAGACCCCGAACTGGATAGGAAAGATTATGGCGACGAGTAGGATTATTTTTTCTGCGCCTAGAAACGCGCACAGTCCTTCTATTCTCGATCGTAGCATCTGCTCCGTCTAACATTGTGGTTACCTTAATTAATCTTTGAACCCGAAGGTTCGCCCCCGTTAATACTAAAGCCCGCTATTTGACACGTTCCTGAGCCAATTCCATCCACCCCACAACCGCTTTGTCGTAGATCCATCTTAATGTTATCCTCCACTTCCTCGGACTTCCAAATGACCACTCTCCAGGAGGTTTTCCTGCCAAAATGGTGTATGTAGGACAGTTTCTTGACTTCCTATCCAAGCTACTTGTCCAATCCATCGTAGCACTGTAGATTCACTAAACAAACCTGTGTAAATTGAAGAGTTGTTAGTTGTCTGTCTGTTTGTTTTCGAGGCTGAAAACTGTTTGTACCAACGCCTTATCCTGTTCTGCTGTGTTGTGGTTAACTCATTTGCACGGGCATGCCCTCACACTGCCTCAATCTGCACGGTGTACCTCCTGGTTTCTCTAAATAAAGCTGCTGTCATTTCCAGAACCGCATGAACGAGGTGTATCAGCCCATTGACACCATCCATCAGTACCTGGAGCAATTCGGAGCATACAGGAAGGCCACCGGGGTGCGGTAGTTCATCGTCCATCACACGACGCCGTCCTTTCTTGCCCTCAGTTAAAGGAGTAGTTTTCAGTGGTCAGTCTCATCCGTTATTGTAATACTTGCAGGCAGAAGTTGCCTGGATAGTGGTTCCTGAAACGTCCAGTCTGAGCACTTTTCCTCTGTTGACTGTGTCAGAGATCGTATACAGCAGGGAAGTCGTTAGCTGAGAACTCTGTGTGTTTTTTTCATCTTCAGACTTGTTTACATATTCTGACACCAATGTACAGAAATAACACAATTTCTGTTATTTCTGTACATTGGTGTCAGAATATGTAAACAAGTCTGAAGATGAAAAAAACACACAATATATATTTGTGTCTGTATGAACTTTTCACAATTTCTGATATTTCTGTATTTAATTGCACAAGTCCTCATAAATATATAGATTTCTCCATGAAGACTTCTTCGTTTTAACTTTTAAGGTCCCAGTGAATTGAAAACATGACGAAATCATATAAACCTGGAGTATTTAAGGCGTGCATGTAATAATGCAGTTTGATGAACCTGTTATGCCGCCGACCTTAAAGGTGAACAGGGTTTGAATTCCAGAAACTGAAAGCCCTGTTGCATCTGCAGTACAGATGATTGTGAAAGTAACATTCGCCTGAACATTTCGAAAATGTTCGAATATTTTCCAAATCATCTATTTTTTTCAAAAATTGACAGAACGTTCAGAATTCTTATTTGAAAAAATTGATAATAATGTTCAAAATTTGGCGAAAATTCTAAGAATTTTAAAAAGTTTTTTTTTTTTTTTTTTTAATTTACAAAAATTTGAAAATTTTCAAAGTCTCACTTGGGGCGTTTGGGTGGCAACAACGGCCTCGAGCAACTCCTCGTCTTGTACTTCATGTGGCAGCGTAATGCGCAGCAGCGTGTCCTCCTCCATGGCTGCCTGCGTGGCCAGGAGCGCATTCTTGTTCCCCGACCAGCATCTGCAACCGTCACAACGGTTTCGTGCTCATTACAGCACAACAGCTCAAATAACGTATAACTGAGTTTTGATACCAGATAAGAACGAAGCTGCCCTCTGCTGTCTTTAAACTACGCCAGGAAGATGTGGTTAGCTACACGCCCCGGCCGCTTTGCTCCCAGGGCAGTGCATCTCCGTTGAAGGCTTGGTACACTCAAAAGCGTCCAAACCTTTAGATCCATTTTGATATTATCTCCCCTTGTACGCATTGGTCACCCCTGTTCCGTCTGATATGTACTCCCACTAAATCGAAATAATATTGTACCAGTTACGCTCATTCTGTTTTCAACAACGCCCTATGTGGTGTGGCGTGAAGAACTCCTTTGAAAAGTTTGTGTGTCCAAGTAATCCGCATTTTCAGTGTTGTTTACTGGAGGACGTAGTTAGCCCCTCGCCCAACCAACAAGCCGAGGACCACCCCTTGTCGGCTGCCCAAACTGTTGACAAGGTGCCGCCGACCTGACGAGAACCATAAGCGTATAATATAGATATCCCTATATACAGTATACTAGATATGTGAGCAAATATGCTGACCTCCTGGCCACTCCGTTACTGACGTCCCAGGCCAACATGAGGACGGCTCTCCTGGCAGCCTCCTCTGTGCCATCCAGAACCAGGCCGAAGCCCCCGTTCACGGCCTCGCCCCTGAAACACGTGCACCGTGTTTGCTTTGTAATTGATCTTTCACTTACGGATGTTTAAGTAACGTATCGCATTTGTGGAATTATGAACTGTCTTTGGCATGCGGTGATTATGAAGAATACTTGGACCTAAGAGAACGGAAGTGACAGGAGGCTGGAGAAAACTACGTAATGAGGAGCTGTAGAGGTACTGTTAATCAAATGTTTTCGAAGAATGAGATGGGCAGGTCATGTAGCACACGCGAAGTATGAGAAATGCGTGCAAATTCGTAATTGGAGATACTTGTGTGCAAACAGTAGTTGAGAGTGCAGAGGGTACAGTCTAGTCAGGTTGATGGCCGAACCTACCACCCGACTCCCCCGCCGTTGTGTAAAGCCACCCAAGTTGCACCCCTGAAGGCGTCTCCTATACAGTTCTGGACGGCCATATCTGCAACAGAGGGTTCACTGTCACTCATGTCTTGTTGGTTCTTTCGAGGAACTGTCTCTGGCAGGTGATCGTACCAGACTTTATTTCGCGCCCAGCACATTATGGTCGCCTTAGCATAGTTCATCGGAGAATGAGTCATCAAGTTCATCATTATGTACTTATTTCCTTCGTTACTATCCCTTACTATGCAATCGAACGCAATCCTTCACTGTCACCGGAAAGTTTCCTATATCGCTAGCGCTCGTCTATTGGGAAGTCCCGCGTTCGGACCTCGGAAGAAAAATCAGCTATTCTGATGCTGACATAGTGCTGTACCATAAAATATGCCACAGCGGACAATTATACATTTTTCGTATTCATCCTAGATAACCATACACTAATTATATTTTATAGTAATTGCTGCAGTTGGTACAGCTATATTAAATATCCTGAATTAGACAAGCTATGCTGTATGACAGGGGTAAAAGTTCTACCCATTATAACCTCTTAATATAGACTTGTGTCCCGCACCAATGTCAGTCTTTTCTGGTGTCCTGCCCTGTAAGGGTAAGAATGATACTGGAGTACTTCGGAGCCCTCACCTGCTGTGAAGGCTGAACCGTCACTGATGTTGGAAGTTTCCCTGTAAGGGCTGTCTGTCCCACTAACGTCGTGATGGTCACGGCTGATGACGACGGGGGCCTGAAAGCAAACAAGACATTGCGAAATTGTTCTTTGTACACTTCATAGGCTGTGACATCAGCAGGGTAGCCAAGCGAATTGCAAATGGAACATTGGTATCAAAGACAACGATGGAATTCAACGTTGCGTTTTTTTAATAATGTACTCTCCTTATTTAAAACAATATGTGATCATGGTACCACTTGCCGGATTTTAATTTAGCTTGATGTTAATCAGAGGGCAACCTCATCTTTCTGATCCATTGTCATGTCTAACATCAGCATGTGTGTCCAGGAAATTCTGAGGTGGGAGCGAATTTCTGTCAATGTAGGGTTGTGAAATAACTCTTACTGTATTTGATTCGTACAGCGGCCCTTACACTAGAATTTTGCATGCCGTTATATATATATTCGACCCGGAGGACAGAACGTTGATTGAGGTTGCGTGAAATCGTTGCTGAAGAGAATATTTAGATTAAGGGAAGTAACAGGATAAGGCAGAATCTTTACTCTTCACCTAATACTGTTAAGGGTCATGATTTAACACCACACGAGGAAGACAATGAATAGAAGTGTGGTGTTGAGGTAAAAGTCCACTTTTCCTAATCTCGGGGAAGTAGATGAAGGTCTTTGGCGAGCTGCAGCCGCTATTTTTTCCGGGCACTGGATTGGGTGGACTTCAGAGCTGGTATGGACACGGTGGTTGAGAGAAAAATCCCTCCCCCACTGCAAATCAGGCCGCCGATCTTCCAACCTGTTGCAAGTCACTTCACTGACTAAGTTATCCTGACTCGTACCTAACATTGTTAGCGTAGTTTTAAATCCAAGAAGGGACATATAGCGCGCATGGTGGAAACTAGAAATGCATACAAAGTTTTTAGTCGGAAAGCCTCAAGCCATTAAGGAGACCTAGACGCAGATGAGAGGATGAAAATGATCGTAAAGCAGTGGAGTGTGAAGGCGTGGACTGGATTCGAGTGGTTCAGAGTACGGTCCAGTGGCGGGTTCTTGGGAACGGCATTTCAAGACGCATTCTTGACCGTGGGTTCGGTGTTACCTGAAGTGTTCCGTCCCTCACGGCGCAGTTGAATGCCTGCGCCAGGCGAGTTCTGCCCACTCTGTCCGAGTAAAGGATGCGCGCCTGAGACCCCACCACCAAGTGATGCTGACCGGCCTCTCGGATCCACCGCAAGTTGTCCTGGTACTGCGTTTCCACCACGGGGGGCACTTCCTCTACACCGAAACAACCCCTCGCTTTAGTAGGTTCAGGATAAACGGGCAACTAACGGGGTAGTCATTTGAGTTGATAGAAAGTGGAAGAATTCGTGAATAGAAAGTAATGCTTTCATTAACCAAAGGATTGCAACGTTGCGTCTATAGAGCGAGAGAGAGAGGAAATTGATGTCAAAAGGAGTGCATGCTTCAGGCGGCGAAACTTGGAAGAAACTGAAATATTCTATTAGAACATCCAGAAATTAATAAATAAAAGTGGCTACATTATAATTGCAGATGCGAATTTTATAATAGAGAAAGTACCAATCGCAAAAGTGGTGGAATTTTTGGAGAGGATTGTGTGGATGAAAGCGGTTAACAGTTGCTAGATCTTGATGCCTCTGACGGCTTGAAAATTACATTCTTCCGCAAGACAAATTTAAATAATTACTCCAAGAGGATCTCGATCTAAATATAATTGACTATATAATAGCAAATGAAAACTTGCGAGATCTAGTGAAAGATGCCACAGTATGTAGATGGAGTGAATTATATACAGACCGCTTTCTGGTCAAAATTGAAATCAATGCGGAAAAGAATTAAGATAGAAACGGACCAACAGAAGCTGAAGGTTTTTAAAACATATTCGTTACAAGAGGTTGTTTGACATTTTATTTGGATTAATGTTAGAGGGACTGGAGAAACCGCATTTCCGTTTAATGCAGGATCTGACTTAGACAAGTTCTACTGTGTGACGCACCTGCAAGTATGTTTTCGATGACGCGGACAGCCAGCTGGTCCGTCACTTGCAAGTCAGCAGGGTTCCCCGAGGTGCAGACCCATCGAAACGGGCCGAAACCGAGCGAGAAGATGTCCCTGAGAATAAACACACATCAGTAGCATTTTAGGTTCTCACGGCGGCGAGTATGAAGCTGGCTGTGTTCTGGGTTGAAGCGCTATGTTGCCTGCTGCCACAATCATCCGGGGTTCTGTTCTCGGTGGGAGAAAATTACCACTGTGTCTAAACCAGCTCTTTGGCAAACCCAGTCTTCTGTCCGGCAGGTACAGGAAACACGGGGATAAGGCCGCCAAAGCGTGAAGCTGACCACTCACGTGTATCTAGTGCCGAGGTTAAGTGGTGGGGTGGTTAGCACTCCTACTCCGTACTCGAGAGGTGATTGGTTCAAATATTGTGATTCAGGTCTTTCGTCGTTTTACTCAATCCTTCCTGGCAAATTCTGGAATAGCGCCTTAAATTAGGCCACGCAGCTTTCTTCCAAATCCCTTTCAATTCGTTATTCAGGAATCGTCCTCTCATTTGAAGGCATTGGAAGCATCGTTAAATAAACAACAAAGTACGTAATGCAAATAACGCAGAACCAGATGGCCTTGCAGTCTCTCGCCTGTGCACAGTGTTGAATGTCTGCGAGGGGCGGTTGCTGCCTACTCACCCCATGAGGTCCTGCACGTAGGATGGGTATCGGAACTTCAGACTCGTGGGGTCTCCTTCCACCCCCACGTCCGCTCCGGCACGTCGAGCCTCCAGCAGGAACGCGTTGCCGTAGTCCCAGAAGAACATCCCGCCCTCCGCTAGCTTGTTGATGGCCGTCACCTGACGGACTAGGCTCTTCTGCACAAGGTTCCTGAACCGATCCGGCTCCGCGGCCAGCACCTTTGTGACACGGTGCAACAAGAGCATAAGTACTAGTGATGGATGAGCAAGCTTCTCGTGCTACGAACACTTGGATTTGCGTAGTGGATTGTCCTGCCTAGTATCGTTTGGTTCCCTTAAACTTCTGTGTCTTACCTCTTGCGATTCCTCGTACCCCAGCTGAACGGGGTAGTATCCCCCGTTAAAGGGGTTGTGACACGAGGTTTGATCGGAGCCTAGGTCCACCAGTAATTGGCCAGTCCTCTCATATTCCTCCACCAGACGTTCCCACAGATTCACTACGTTGCCATGGTAACCTATGCTGACCGCCTGTAAGAAGAGTTGAGGTTTGGTACATGAAGAGATCTAGAAACAAGTTACATTTCACTCTTCTGCTATGTCAGAACGTGTTTCTTATTTACAATTGTCAATTAAATGACACCAGTGTGTTTCCACGTAGCGTAGTCCTTCTTGAGAAGCTAACAGTCGCGGAACTAGTCAACATTCTCAGCATTTCATAGTAACCTTGTAATTATCCCAGTTCTGATCTAGTTAAAGTCAGTGAACACCCTCCAACCACGTTTGTTTCTGATCCTTGCCAACCTTTTCCTCCACCCTTTCGAGCTGTTGGATGAAAATTATGTACCCACTTCTCGTCAGTCCAGTGCGTGCTACATGCCCCTCGAGTCCATCCCTCCTTTAATTTTGTCATCCTAGGTCTATTTGCTGAAGGATGAGATACAATTATGAAGCTTCACGTTTTATAATTTTTCAGCCTTCTACTTTTTTCGTTCCTTATCTTCAGACATTATGAATTATCCTAATTATTTCTGGTTTTACGACAGGAAACTGCGCTTTTATGGAGATATGGAAACATGAACGCAGTGGGTTTTATTTGAATAAGAGTTGGCTTGCAGTTTTACATATCTTCTTCTGCCTCTTGTTTGTGTTGTTTTCTCTCCCAGTTTTTTACGTTAATGTGACTCAATCCTGTCTTAGTTACAGTCACATGATCCATATCTTATACACTGTACTCTGTAACTTTATCAGTTGTCACGTAATTATCCCAGCAGTGCACCGTAGGCACACGGTGTAGCAGGAACGCACGCGTGCGGGTTGACTCCTCTGTACCTCTTTGGCCTTCCTCGCCACTCGTATCCTCAGTATCACCTGGTCCAGGTCTGACTCCATCTCGTGAAGCCAGCCTTGGGCGTGTCTCTTCTTCACGGCGTCCAGACTGACCTGCGAAACACACAACATCTCTTCACCGAGGGTACATCTTGTTAACGGAAATAAAGAAAGAAAACATCAAGACAATCGGAAGGGAAAGGATAGAAGAAAGAAAGGGGAAACAAGAAGAAGAGAGATGGTTAAAGTAAATGAATACACGAAGTCAGTCGTACCTCTGCAACGATTCCGATGCAACCCGCAATGACGGCTGCTTTGGCCTGCGCGCCACTCATGCCTCCGAGCCCTGAGGTGACAAACACTTTGCCCGCCAGGTCATCCGTCCCCAGGTACTTCCTGCCTGCGTTCAACACCGTAATCTGCAAGACAGGAGTTGTCAAATGGTGGTATACATGAACCATTTACGGAGCACAGAGTCCTGCTGAGTCTTGTCACTGAAGTTGAGCAATGGTGGGAAATACATGGGGGAAGAACCTACGATCGGTGTCGCTTTGTCTGCCCTGTAACTGAACCCGAGTCTCCACAGTGAGGAGCTGTCTTAACCGCCTGAGCTATGATGATACGGTTCTTTCATTCAGTTACTGTTGTCATCATTTCCGTTTTTATACGCTCCTTTTGCTTTGCTTTGTCCCGGTGGTGAGCATTGGCCCTCTGAAGCCGAAGATCGTCTTAATTACACTGTATTTACATATTCTGTCCGTACTGCATAGAAAACACAACACACCGTTACAAAGATCAGTCGGATAACGCTCTTTAAATAGAAAACACAACACACCGTTACAAAGGTCAGTCGGATAACGCTCTTTAACGATGCTTATTCTGAGAATCATACGAAACCTATAAATAACACTGTGAAAAGAATTCAGCATTACTAAACGATAAGGTAGGTGGTACATATAGTCACCACTAGCCGTTAAAGTGTTAATTTACTCATTCCTTTTCACGCTGACTGCTGTTGTGCACAACAGATAGGTTGTATTTCTAGATGGAGTATCAGCACTTCGGTTTCGATAAGTTTTCAGGGAACTTTTATGAGAGAGGAGGGAACTCGGGGTTTTTGTATAAAATTGTTCGATTTGGTCTAACCTTCATATTTTGAACAATTTTGCTGATCAATTTGGTGCAGTCTCTATGACAGATATTGCAAATGGGTTACGTAGTGGGCACTGTGTTGAAATATCCGATAGGCGGATGCAAAGAAAGGATTTTTGTACAAGTGGTGTGAACCGTGGGATTCTGACACAAGAAGGCTTTATAAAGGCAAAAAGGTTGTTCTTTTACTATATATTTGTCGAAACTGGAGACCACGAAACAGCGAAAGACACCTCTGAGCAACCGACAGCGTCATTATCGCAACAAAACAAAATAAATGTCCGCAAAGGGTTTGTGTATTTTGAGACTGGCTGTACCAACGAACTATCGATTCATTTTCCATTTTATCCTGAGAGCGAGAGACGTCGACCTAGGCTGTGTACTTCTACATTTGTCCGCAAGAGGCGCCAGCCTCTGGATCTGCTTCTTGTGGCATATCTTGCAATCGTCTTGGGAACTGCTCCAGTGTCGGAGGCTGCGAGGGTAATGATATCAACAAGGAAATGACCAGATCAAGTATACTTCCATCCTTTCGTCTCCCTGCTCTAGGCCGTTTGTGCGTCTGAAACGTCGGACAGTATCTACGAGACAATATGGCGTAATATCCCAGAAGACGGCCATTTGCTTACTCTTCGCCGTGAGAACCTGACGTCCTACCTAGATTAAGTTGTCTCACATTAAACTCCATTGGCGAACATTTGTGGTTGGTTGAGTCTCACAGCTTGAGGAATTTGTGACTTCAGAGTGAATTATATATATATATATGATTGCATCGGTGAAGTGTATTTGGGTGATACCGGTTACCGACTATACTGCGTGAGGTTTCTCGTAGTTTTCCTGAGTCTGCAAGCGAATTCCAAGACAGTAAATTCAGAAAGGCCCCGACTGACTCCCTGAAAATTCTTGTGTACTTACAATTCATCCTTTCTCACTTGACACTATATAATATCTTGATCTGTAATAGCTTCATTAAACAACGCGAAAACAACTGAAGTGTGGAGTGACATAACTGTCCCACTTACCATTGTACCGTGGACGATGCCTTGTGGACCGATGTAGCAGTAACTGCCGGCAGTCATCTGCCCGTACCTGGAGACGGGAATCATAACTGGGTTAACATACACAGAACTGTGTTTCTGTCCATTGTTTTGTTTTGATGCAAAACTTGATCTGTCAATCTGAGAGAAGAACAGACATTGGAGTGCACATGAGAAAAATTAATTTCATGGTTCGTGCTCTCTGCTGATATTTCTGCGGATGTGTAACCGAAAATTAAATCAGTAAATCTGTAACCAGTTCTTCTTGGATAAGCCAATTGTGCTGTTCCTCGGCTAGGAAATTTCTCGTACAGGTACTGCGCCACGCTTTACCCTGAAATGTGGTGGTGCCGCCCCTTCGCGCTTGAGGTGCATTTGTAATCGTGTTTAATGTCTGTTCAAATAATCTTGATTGAGACTGTGACATATCTGACTGAGAATAACTTGAGGAATAAGATGATGAAATTACATAAAGTCACAGGATACTGTGTGTACACTTTTAGTTTAAATGCAGAATAGTAAATTTGTTTAAAAAAATTGATTCATGGTAGCTTGAAGACCTAGTAAAGAACTCACATGGTTACCCCTAGCGCGAACATGTTGTCGTAATTCTGTCTGCTGGAGTAATTGGGAATCACCATTCCGTTCGTGATGACAATCCGGGGGGCTCCGTAGTTGCTAGGAAACAGCCCCAAGGGGTGCCCAGAATACATTACCAGAGTCTGTTCTTCGTTCATCTGGGACAAGTACTGCATAGTCAGCCAGAACTGCAAAACAGTGTCGCTCTTGTTAAAGAGTGTTGCCATAGTTACATCACTATAGAAAGAAATTTGTAACACATTACGAAAAAGCGATTAGTCAGTCTATTATATCCTTAATCGTCTATTAATTTATTTCGTTCATATTAATTTAGTCTCCTGTCGTCACGGTACGACGCGTCCTTGGGTTGCGGGTGGAGGAGACGACCACCAGGTGTGGAGGGTAACAGCGAATATATTCAATAAGTTGAGCACGGATGGTTTTCCAGAGTGGGTTTACGCGAGGGGGTGACATGATTATAATTAAATGTTGCTTAGATGAGAATTTGTCCTTTGAAAGGTGAAGGAGCCACTGATGTACGATCATTCACCAAAATTTAAAATATCGGACAAGGGACGCATGTTGCTTGGCTAACCTGCGCCCAGTTGGAGAACACTTGTCCGTTGCCACCGTAAGTCACGAGCTCCTGAGGGAACTGTGCCACTTGAGGGTCCAAATTGTTGAGTATCATGAGCATCATGGCGGCTGCGTGCTTGCTTTTCGCGGGGAAGTCCTTCAACGGGTAGGCTCTGCAACCAGCAACACACATTCAGCGCTTTTCGCTAGTTAAAACACGAAAAAGGAATATCGGTAACAAGTCAAAATACAAATGCACCTCAGAACAAAATTATAAAGATTCCGAAATTTCTCGAAATCGAAACAACATTTTAGTGATAGAGGAGCACGTCATTAATTTCTGATATACGGGCGATGGAAATGTTTCGTTATGTATTCAGTTTTGCCAAGTGGTGTGTATGGTTTCATGTGTACGCGGTTTCTGATCTGTTTACACATGGAGAAAGTCAGCGGATTCAACACCAGATTCCAGATTACCACTGCTGCGTGTCATTTGTGTTGCTGGACTGGATTCATCTTTTTCAGGACAAATCAAGTGTAGGCTGATGTCTTGGCCAGCTAATCAGCTGCCAGCTTCTTAAAAAGGACTTTACCCGGTGGGTTTATTCTACACAGGAAGTAGCTTTCAATAGGCTCAGTGCTGTCCCACCTGACTGGAAACTGCGGAAGGAACCGATACATGTAGATGTGGCCGTAGTTCCTCAGTTCCGATGCGAATTCCTCCGCGAGGACGCGATGGGCGCTGGGCGGGATGTAGCGCAGGGCATTCTGTACCGCCATCTGAAGCCAGAACCACAGGTTGGAAACCATGAAATGTTTGTAGCGCATTATGGGAGGAAGTTGAAGATTACATAGGGAAATAATGGATCTTCGTGAAATTGTTTGTCAGTTGCATGACTCGTAGTAAGGCTCGGTAGCGGGATTTTGTGATGACGTCACTCAACATTGTGTTTCCATAACAACATCGAATCTATAAAGACGTAGATTCTTAGCGACTGCTCGGCAAATAACACGTACAAGGACGGTTTGTCGGTAAGTAAATCAGTCGGTGGATTAATGAGACGAGTTTTCGCGGTTGTCCGTACTCGCACAATGTTAAAGCTGAAACCCAAGCTAATGAGCACGCTTGGGTCTTGAAAAACGTTTGACCAACTACTTCATTTGACCTGGCGAGCCACACCCTGCCATTATCTCTCTAACGTAGAAATCCGACGTTTCAGAAAACGTTGCTGCCCTTTTCTGCCGAGTCTGCGTCACAGAAGAAAGCGTTATTTAGTTAGTCACTGAATCAATTAGGTACGTATTTAATTACGGCGCATTGGCATCAACCAGCTGGTCGCAGTGCAGGAATGTAAAGTTTGTAGTTCAAAGTGTTCATTTAAGCAGACAAAACAACCTTCTCGGGACGAAATGCCCTTTGGAACGGAGCAGTACGCCTCTAGAAAATGAAGAATTAAACTGAAAACTTTACAGAGCGAAGTGCAATTGGATTTTCCCCTTCTACAGCAGTTCCGCTAGAAACAAATTCCATTGATATTTTCATTTATGATGAACTGCAACGGAAAAAAAAAATTATCCTTTGAGGCGATTACCGTAGGCGTACTCCTGTCATTACCGAATTAAAAGCTTAATACTAATTATACAGCACAGATATTAAAAGTGGAATTGCAAGAGTTTTACATCGATGTTTCCATGGTAACAAAAATCCATGGCAGCGTCATTCATTAGCCGATTTGATGTAATACTGAGTAGCACATTCATCGTGAGACAAAACAACCCGTGTTCCGCTGACAGAGACTTTCCCCAGATTGAATCAAAGTTTCATAATTCCTTTTCCTCTCTTCTGAGGATCGATTCGCATGATTAATTTCACGCAGGATTTATGCGCATGGGAGCGGCGAAAAATGCATGTGCGTTTTAGTCGAAACATATAAAGAAAAGCGACCAATTGGGTCATTTAGGCGTTAGTTAGGGATGTTATTAAAATGTACCTTACAGAAATGGGGTACAAGGTTGTGACCTGGATTTCTCTTTCTCAGAGGCAGGCTGAGCGTAACTTCTCAGAAACTTCAGCAAAATATCTGGCCAGTTAAATACTGCCACCAGACCTGGCCGAGATATGGTTTTTAACCTCCCTTACTGATATAGACAAGGGCACCATCAGACAGAAGTCACTGCACGTTCCTTAGTGCCAACAAATTATCCTTTTAAGAAACTCAGAGATTCATACTCTTTCTCATAAGGGCTCGCCTCTGGACCCTATCCTGAGCTAGATGAACCCAGTTAACACCTCTGGACCCTAATCTGTCTGACATAAACTTTAATATTATCCTGACACCTGCTTTTGTCTCTCCCTTCGGTATCTCCGGCTAAAATGTGAAAACTTCTCATTTCCGGCATGCATACACCACATCCTCCTTGGTTTAATATCCGTAGTATTACGTGAAGACTACCTGCAGGTTGTAAAGTTCCTCATTGTGTAATTGTCACAGTCCATCTGTTACTTCCTCGCCCTTAGTGATTCAATGATTGGAAAGAATCATTTGTCGTCCGTCCACTTATTTTCCCTTTCAAGCTGTTATAGTCGGGCTTCAAGCAGCAGTTGTCATGGAAACACGAGCTTCAGCGTGGGATTATTTCTGTTACTTACGTATTTGTTCCTGACGGCAAGGCCGTCCAGTACCAGGGGACAGGTTCGAGATTTCGAAACATTCTTAATAACGCAGCTAAAGTTCCTTCTACAGCCATGACTTCAGTATCCAGGGAGCTACATAATAATCTTGCTCTCTGACCTTTCGTATTTCTTGTTTGCTTTCATGTAACTTAATATCTTTGTTTGTTTGTTTGTGTCGTTTTATGATCAGTATGAGGATTTTGGACTTCTGGGTTGTGATGCCGTGTATTATTGAAGTCGGTTACCGACGTTTAAGAACAACGTATCACCTGAATATGGAGGCGATACGTTGTACCCGCGTATAAGAATACACTACGTCACAGACCAGACACAATTCTTGAGCCTTGACAACTTACATATCGTGTGTCCAATATTTCTCCTGAGAGACTGATTTCAATAGCTAATACACTAACACTCGACTAGTCCAGATATTCGACGTCTTGAATGGAACCCAAGAGTTCACAAATGATCACCGCTGTACCCTATCTTGAGCCAGTTTAATAGATTAGGTTACTCACTCTTTGCTCCGGGACAGTGAGGCTGTGGCCCCTTATCGGGGCATGAGGCAGGGACTCGTCCCGCTTGCGTGCTGGTGGTAGAGGGTCCAGTTCCAGTCCCCTGCACAGTACTTCCAACTCTCCAGCCATGTGGAGCGCTCGCAGTAAACTGACAAGTAGGCAGATCTTGTGTCTTAGCGCACCAGGTTCAAGGTGATCATGGCTACAAACAAACAGTTCCCTCGTTTTCTGCCTGTTTGATATTTTACAGCTATGACGTAACCGATCTTCCACCCAGGAAACCCTTTACTTTTTCATAAGAAGCTGTAGATCTCGCGCAACTTGATTTTAGAAGAATTACCAGATTTTGATTCGATTTAAAGAGTTGAATTGTTCAGATATGAAACAAAATTAAATTCTCCCGACAAATTTATTGCAATCGACCACCCTTCCACTCCGGGCTAAAATGTGTCGTACGTAGATCGTGCAATATTTAAATAAGCCGCCATGTTCCTGTCAGCTGTTACTTCCTAGTATCTCTAATAGATGGCACGGCAATTGTAACTCGGCAACGCGCTCGTGGCGCCAGCAGTTAGGGTTCGCCATTTTTGGATTGACCAACAGCGGTCAAGGAGGGAGGTGTTCAGAATGAAGGTTGGTCTCGGTTGATGTGTGTACGTGTGTTTGGAACACAAGAAATATCGCTGGAATAGCCTCTTCTCTAAGAATCATTTGTTTTCTTCGTATATCAGGTGAGTGGATACTTCTCGGTTTCCATGCAGAGACTGGTACAGTAAAATTATTTTAGCCGGCACTAGACCTGCTACTTGTATGCAGTATTTATTCTTTCTCCGGCTAGAGACTACTTGGCCTTTGACACAAATATCTGCTTAAGGTCAAGGCACTCTGATTTTATTTACAAAAACATACCAATTAATGGAACACGAAATACTTTTTATTGTGGAAGACCAGATTGCCCATTGCCAGACCATGAGGACTGCATATAACATTCGTATTGATTAGGCCTATGTGTAAGAGTTATGGGTTATAGTTTATTTACATTCCATAGAACCTTCTTTGTGCTGATCCAAAGGATGTAGACCATGTCTTAACTTTGGATTTTTCAATGCAAGTACAAAAACTTGTATCAAATATAGATATCAACAAAGCTTAAGAATTTTCAACAGAAGTAACATCATATACAGATTAGAAGGAGTGAGTTAAGAGGTATTCTTTTTATGCAGGCTTCAATAATTTTACTGAATAACCTATTGCCTGGAAAATTGACTGCTTTTTGATGTTTAGTAAGGTTAGTATTTAGCATATGAAGGTTATATTTACATGTTATGTTCAAATTGTGCACATCTATATTTAGTTTAAATTTGTCCACGTTTTCCACCACAAATGATAGTAGGCCGAGTATGAATTCACTTGCAAGTATAGTATTTTTCAAAATGGTTATCTACATAAGACTCTGCTTTGAACACCTTCCATTATTCTAATTATTTTCTTTTGGATATAAAATGCTTTATTACTGTCTGTTGAATTTCCCCAGAAGATTAAACCATATGATGGTAAAGAGTGGATGTAAGTGAAGTGAACTTATTTTAAAGTATCTATTGTCATGGGTGGTGGAAAAGCATGCAGAGCTTTGTTTGGGAATGATATGTTCAGTGTGTTTCTTCCAGGTCAAGTTATTGTCAATTTGTAAGCCAAGGAAATTTGTTTGCTTCTACTTTCAACATTAATTTATTCCCAAAACCTGTATTTAAACTAGGACATGTCTTGTTCTTGGTAGCGAATTTTATATGGTTTGTTTTATCAAAATTTAGTACCAGTTTGTTGGTCTTAAACCATTTGGTCAGGTTGGCAAAGACATCATTCATGATACTGTGAATATATAGACCAATAATAATGATACTTGTATCATCGTCAAAGAGAATAGGTTTGGATTGAGCCTTCATAGTTGCAAGCAGATCATTGAAAAGTAAGGGACCACGTGGTGCTCTATGATTTTACAATGACCCATTCGTAATAGGTTTTGTGATTGGTATGAGCAGATTTAATTTCTACTTTCTGCCCCTGAACTGTTTCCGTTCTTTTCGAGAAGTGGAACAGATAACACACAAATAGTATGTCATACCTGTCTTCCTCAGCGTATTTCAATTCCAAACATTTCACGTGTTGTGTGTAAATTTGTTATTTAATTCTGACGGCAGATGCAGTACTTCTTTCTGTACCTGAAGTGTGAATTGATTTCTGTTAAAGAGAAGATCCCAAAACTGAACTCAAATACACATCTGAGTACTTTCTGTATCTTTAATTTTAAACATTCCTAACCTGTATCTGTTCTCTTCTTCATATATTGTTAGGTGATAAAGTGAAGGAGGGTTGGAGATGTAGCATGCATGGGGGAGGTGAGACGCACCTGCAACACATTCAGGAGACTTCGGCTTACGTCGAAGCACAACATTCAGACATGTCTTAAATACTGCATGAGTGTGTGGACTGGATACATCTGGCACGAGATAGGACGGGGTTTTGTGAACAGGGCAATGAACATTTAGTTCCATAAAAGGCAGGAAATTTTATATCTAGCTGCAGGGACTATTAGCTTTTGTGGGAAGACTGGCCATGGAGAAGTAATTTATGGTTTTGTAGTGTAATAGCTGTTCTGTTCTGTTTTGTCCTGTTGTGTGAGCATGGAGAGTGGGGAAAGAAGTCAGCTGGATGTGGTTTGTTAAGTGGATTACTTTTTTTTCTCAACTGATTTAGGCTGCTTGAAGTTACTGTAAAATATGTGAGTTCTTTATTGTAGTTATGCCAGGCACTTGTTTTATGATACTTCAAGTTTTTAATGGTTATGAATAATACTGGCCTCAGGATTGGCTTGCTTTTATAACCAATTCAGGTCATGGAATCCAGTTTGGTAGACCCACCAGGTCACCTGTCTTCATTACTTTTAATGTAGTGCTGCTAATGTTATACACAAGTCTGCTTTAATTGCTAATAACAGATTGAAATTTTTCACTTATAATACGATGTAAAATGTTCAGATTATGATCTTCTGTTGGTGTCACAACGCAGAGGGCAACAATTTGCAGTGTGCTGCATCACAGTGAAATCATGAACACTATGTTCAACTGCATTTGGGTTTTCCTGTCACTAGAGACCATTACTATCCATTCAGTGACATGGTGACTTAATACATGTCTAAGTAGTTTTATCTTGTCCTGAAGATTGATATTCAGTGACAGCACTCTTTCAAATAAGACCACAGATGAAGCACACTACGAACCCAACTTTTGAGATCCCAAGTATTGCAGCCAGTACAGTGGTGGATGCTTCGGTCTCCAGCAGGATTTCTGTGTTTGCTGGCGACTGTGCATACAGCAGCTGTGCAGACGCTATGTAGTCAGAGCTACTGAAAAAGCGTCGTTAAATTAACTATGAACAAAAAACACCCCTTGTACGGTTGTTTCTTTTGTGTTTTTGCCACCCTGTGTGGGGTGAAGGGGGGTGGTTATGATACCCGATCGTGAAGCTGATCATGTACGTCATTTAAGTATCGAAGTTTAGCTCAAGTGCGAGTTTCGGCTGAGGCGTGGGTGTGTCGTCGTGTCCACCTCTGTCATGTCGCGAGGATGCAGTCCGCGATGACCTGGAAGTCTGGCGGCACACGACCGCTTGAGACAGAGACACGGTGAACCAGTTTCTGTGGTACCGTTGGAGGATGTCCCCCTCCCTTCCACAAGCTACACCCTGTTTTGCGTAATGCACGCAGCATGCCGTGCAGTAGCTCAGGCGGTTAGTCACCGAGGAGGTTCTTCTTCGCACCTGTCCGTTTGGGATTTGTGGTGGATGAAGTTGTGCTGGGACAGGTGTTTGTCAGAGACCTTCTGGGGTTTCTCTGCGTTATATTTCCACAGCTGTTTCATATTTACCCTTGTGTCATCTGGGGGATGGACAGCGCGTTTGAATGTGCTCCCCCCCTCACGAATTTTCGTGTAATTACTCTTCATGTCTGTCGTTACAAATGTCTTCGCAAGCACGGACGCAAGTACTGGGATGGCCAGTGTGTCCTGACTTTCACCCCAATCTGTATAATCGTCTCTTTTAATTGCGTCCTGTTTTATCACAGATTAGATTGTGTGATGTTTTCCAACCAGAAATGTATTTTTTAGGTCGTGACGCATTGTCGTCTTGTTTCGAAAGGACGTACTTCATTCAATTACAAAGTGGATCTGTAGTTCATTGTAACAAACCGAAAGGAAACTTTGGCAAAACAATAGCTCGCGGTTAAAACCGTGCAGGTTGGTGGAAATTTTTAGGATCCATATATTCAAGGATATTGTTACTGGTCAGTCGTGTTAGATGTGTACACCTGGTCTACGAATG